CTGAAGCAATAACTAAAGCAGAAAGGACTGGAGGGTGGCTCAAGTGGGAGGACACCTACCTAAGCCAGTGCAAGGCCCTGAGTTCACGCCCCATTACTGCCTCCTCCAATCATACATGAGACCATTGTCTTCTCTGTCAACCCTTTGGCCACTATATGATAATAGTAAATAATAATTAGTGTAATGTTTCTTTAGCTTATCACAACTTGAGTACTCCTTTCTAAAATGCTTCAGGATTTGGATTTTTTTAGGTTTGGGAATATTTTCATACACATAATAACATATTTTGGAGATAGAATCCAAGTCTAAATGAGAAATCCATTTCACATATATATGTATATACTATATATGGTGTATATATATGTATACCATACATGTGATATATATATGGTATATATTGTGTGGTATATACCATATAGAGAGATATTCTATATATCACCATATATACTATATATATAATACAAGGTATATATATATATATATACCATATATATGGGGTGTGCATATATATATATATATATATATATATATATCTTCTACACATAGCTAGGTAGTCGTTTCATGCACTGTTTTTAATAATTTTGTGCATGAAATGAAATATGAACTTTTTGCAGCTCAGGTAGCTTGGGGGGGCACTTTTTCACTTGGAGAAGCTCAAGAAACTGTGTTGTGGGCCTGCATGTTGACTGTGACTCCCTCACATGAGGCCATGTGTGGTCTAATCACCTGTGGCCTCAAGTGGGCACTCAGCAGTGTTTCAAGCTAGGCCCCAGTAGCTCAAGCTGGTAATCCTAGCTACTCAAGGAGCCTGAGGTCTGAGGATTGTGGTTGGAATCCAGCCCAAGCAGGAAAGTCTGCGAGACCCTTATCTACAGTTCACCACTGAAAAAAAACTGGGAGTGGTTCTGTGACTCAAGTGGTAGAGTGCTAGCCTTGGGAGAAAAAGCTAAATAAGAACATCAGGCCCTGAGCTCAAGCTTAATAGTAGCGTGCGTGCACACACACACACACACACACACACACACACACACACACACGCACGCATGTACACACTTTGGATTTTGAATCTTCAGATGAGGGATATTTTACAGAAGGGTATAGCAGCCTCTGTGCTAGTCTACGTGTGTGATTTTTAATCCTCACAGCTAAGTTTATACTGTTAGTATTCCCATTTTTGTTAGAGGAAATGAAACCACAGGGAAGTTAAGAAACTTTCTCAGGGAGTAAAATGCAGAGCAAACATTCAGTTGGGACAACGTGATACAAGGCCCAAGGTGCTTTATGAGAGTTAGAGCTCAAATGATACAAAAACACGGGGGCTTTCCTCAGTGAGCTAGAAGAGGAGTGAAAGTAGAGGCTGTTATGATTCTGTATTTGACCAGAGTGCTGTGCTGAGTGACTATATATTAGGTTCCTAGAGCAACTTGGGGTCAGGGAGGGAAAGATGAATCGAAGGTAAGCAAGCAAAGAACTTGTCTCATTCTAGTGATTAAACAAGATACTGCCATCCATTTTGAAGTTATTATGTTTATATGTGTCTTTTGAAAAATAATTGGCTTTGATAGCCATCCCATTTTCATTTGTTTCCCCTGGTATGGGGGTTTGAACTCAGGGCGTCGAACTTGTTTTCTGGGCAGGCACTCTACCACTTGAGTCATGCCTCCTACCTGGTGTTTTGCTGGCTATTGTGAAGGTAGAATTTTTCTGATTTTTCTGCCCCAGCTGGCTTCAAACCTCATTCCTATGGGTCTCAACATTCAGAGTTGCTAGGATTATAGGTGGAAGCCACCAGTGCTTGGCTATGCTTTCTGTTTTGTCTTTATTATATTCAGATTCCTCATGCTAGTTTTCTAGGTTGATTAAATCAATATAATAGTAAGTTTAATTCTTTAAGTTTGTGGGAAATCATCTGACTTGGTTTTGAGTCACAGACTCCTCAGTAAGATGGGGAGGTTTGGGATGGGAAGAAATGTCTAATTGTTTCCACAAATTGCCTGGAGGATTTCTATTGAGAGTGATAGATTGAACTGGAAAAAAATAAAAATTAATATTACAACAAATAAACTAGGACCAGATTGTTTCCTTCATTCTTAAATGATGAAGTATTTCAGACATATAAAAGGTGATGCATTGTATATGTATATAACAGCAAATAAGATGAAAGCAAGCATTGAATAACTGTCACACAGTGTAAGCAGAATATTTTCAGAAGCTATGTATTTCCTGCCCTCTCTTAATAACAGTTCCCTATTTCTGCTATTTCTGCTCTAAAGGTCATACTTATTCTGACTGTGTTAAACTTAAAATCATTTTTAAAATATCTTTGGCAAGCCAGGCTCTGGTGACTCATGCCTGTAATCTTAGCTACTCAGAAGGCTGAGATCTGAGGATCACAGTTCAAAGCCAGCCAGGGCAGGAAAGCCTGTGAAACTCTTATCTCCAACAAACCACTCAGAAAACAGGAAGTGGTGCTGTAGTTCAAGTGGTAGAGCACTAGCCTTGAGCCAAAGAACTGAGGGACAGCACCCAGGCCTCACAACAAAACAAAAGAAGAAAAAAATTATTTGGCAATATTAAGATTTGAACTCAAGGCTTCACACTTTCCAGGCTGGTGTTCTACCACTTGAGCCATGCCCCTAGCTCTTTTAGCGGTGGTTATTTTGGGGATAAGGTCTCACTTTTTCCCTGGAATTGCCTGAATCTCAATCTCCAATTTATACTTTCCATATAGCAGGTGCATGATACTGTGCCCAGCTTTTTCTGTCAGAATGGGGTTTCACAAACTTCTTTTGACTGACTTCTTTCTGACCTGCAACTCCTGAGTAGCTAGGATTACAGGTGTCAGCCACCAGAGCCTGGCTTGCATGCAATCATTGTTAAGAAGCACTCAGGAAGCATGTATATACATTTGCAAAGCATCATATCATGCTGGGATTTCAGGGACTGTAGCACCTGGAAACTGGAATTAAGGTCTAGGTATGGCTATAGAGAATACCATTAAGCAAAGACAATTTAAATAGTACTAACAAATGAAGACCATTAGAAATTCAACAGGGAATCTTTGCTCCCATTTTCTGTGTGGGAATAAAAGTGTTTTCCATGCTAAAACTTAAAAAAAAAAGAATGGTTGCAAATAACTATAACAGAAATAATGGTAACCATTAATGAGTGACATCTCCTTGTTTTCCATTTCTCTCGACCTTAGTCTGTTATACCAAAATAAATCCTTGCTATTTTTTTAAGAAATGGCTATGAGTAATTATAACAAATAATGATGTCACTATGATTAATGAAGTGACGAGAACTCATCAGTAGAAAACTATAATGTTTCACTGTAGTAAACTAAGTAACTTAGAAACTGCCCATTCTCCACTTTCAATCTGCCGCACCAGGGATGATAGCATCCTGTGATAGTGCTACCTGTGCCAACACTACACATGATAGCTCTACATATAATATTCTTACATGTGGTAAGACCACATGTGCTATGATGATGCATGATACTACACGTGATACTACCACATGTGATATGACTGTGTGGGTATGCTTCTATCATGTGTGGATGGCTACATGTGATGCCACTGCATGTGAGGCTACCACATGTAGAAGAGTTGAGACTGTGCTATTCACTATGCTCAAAACTGGGTTCAACACTTTACCTGGATCAAAATGCTTAACGTAGTGTAGTTGATGCTTGGGTTTTCTTCCAGTCTCAATACACACCTAGTGAGAGGTCACCTGGTGGGGGTGGGGGTGGGAGGTAATCTAGCCCCTTATCCCTAGCTTCTTCCAGCTTGTTCCAGGGAACAATCTGTAAGTATACACACCACAGTGCATTGATAGGTACAGAAATAATTCAGTTAAGACGAAGATGCTAGAGAAGACATTACAGGGGATGGGGTATGGGATGGGTGTATTTTGGAGGACAGAGGTATTTTCACGTGGCTGGTGAAGATGGCTGCCCCAGGCACCAACGACGTGAAGCACTTAGGCAATGCTGAAGCATAAACCCAGTGGAAAGGAAGTGGGGCAATCCTGATTTAACTCTTGGTGAGTAATATTCAGAGAACATTCATGTGATCCAGTCCCTATGCCTGGTCAACTTTGAGTCAAAGGCCGAGGCAAAGATCAGAACAGAATTAGAGTGTCCTGGACCAGTGCTCCCCAATAAAAATGCAACGTGTGTAGGGAGCTGTGTAGGGAGCCCTGGGTTTCCTAAAAGCCACAACCAAAATGGCCAAAGGGAATAAGTGAATTCATTTTCCTCATATACTTCATTTAATACAGATCTGGCTGGGTGCTGGGGGCTTATACCTGTAATCCTAGCTACTCAGGAGGCTGACATCTGAGGATCATGGTTCAGTGCCAGCCCAGGCAGGAAAGTCCATGAGACCTTTATTTCGAATTAACCACCAAAAAGTCAGAAGTGCAGCTGTGGATCAAGTGGTAGCAGAAAATGTTAAGACATAGTGTCCAGATCTCGAGTTCAAGCCCCAGTACTGGCACAAAAGAAAAATAACAGCTCCAAAACTTGTCATTTATTAATGGCAATTATTTGGAATCATATCCAATTAAAGTAATAGTAAAATTACTAATAAGCATTTTTCCATATTAAATCTTACAAATCCAACTAGTTTTTGCATGTACAGCCTACCTCAATATAAGATAAGCCACCATCCAGCTGAGTAGCTCTGTGTGGTACTGGCAGCCGCTATGCTTGGTGGCACAGCTTGGGATCCAGGCGTGTACTGCACATTAACTCTGAGGGGGCTGGGGGAAGGAAGCTAAAGAAAACAGCATTTGCCATCATAACAGTCCCTAGCTCTTGATTGAAATTCATGTCTAAACCTAGGCTCTGAATGCTTTCTTAATACTCCGGTAACACCAACTTCAAATGATTATTGCTTACTTTTGTTTTTATGCTTTTTCTCCCCATCTCCCCACCCCCCACCCCTCATCTTGTATGGATTCTCTCTGAAAGTAATAGTGGCTGAGAAAGAACTGGAAGCTGGCAGCAAAGAGGTTGACCTAAACCCACATCCGGCAAAATGTGAGCTGTTGCCCGGGGCAACCATGATTGTCAGCCCTTTTTTTTCCCCCTCCTTCTTGTTTTCATTTTGACTTCCGCCTGTAGTTCACAAGCATAATACATTCTCATCAACAGCAACTCTCCAAAATCCACCCTACTCCTAAAATGCACCTCCCTTTTAGGAGAGAATGAAAATGGTAGGATTTGGAGTAGAGAGCTAGATGACCAACCCGACCAACAGTGACTAGCGAATGCCTCAGGGAGATTGCTGGCAGTCACTTTTTTGTTCAGAATGGCTGCCTCTCTCGCCTAGAGACTTCATTTACAGATGCCATTCCCAGAGGCTTCTAGTGGTTTTGTCTTATGAAAAAGTGTCAGGTACATGGAATGCCATGGATAGTAGCCAACCTGGTATAGATTTAGGAGTATGTGGGAGGAGAAAGAAAGAAAAAAGAAAGGAAAGAAAGAAAGAAAAAAGAAAGAAAGAAAGAGGGGGGAGGAAGGAAAGAAAGAAGGAAAGAAAGAGAGAGAGAATAGGAAGGGAAGGAAGGGAAGGAAAGGAAGGTAGGAAGGAGGGAAGGAAGAAGGAAGGACAGAAAGGAAGGAAGAAAGAAAAAGTAGGAAGGGAAGTAAGGGAAGGAAAGGAAGGTAGGAAGGAACGAGGGAAGGAAGAAGGAAAGAAAGGAAGAAAGGAAAAAAGAAAGGAAGGAAAGAAGGAAGGAAGGGGAGGGAAGGAAAGAAGGAGGAAAGAAGGAAAGAAGGAGGAAGGAAGAAGGATAGAGGAAGAAAGGAAATAGAGATGGGGAAGGAAGGAATGTGGAAAGAAGGCATAGAGAAAAGCAAAGACAGAATAAGTGACTTAAATCTGTTTCTACTGATGGTTTTTGAGGGAGACTATATTAATAAGACTAATGATGCTGGGGCTGGGAAGGTGGCTCAGTGGTAGAGCGCTTGCCTTGCATGCCTGAGGACCTGGGTTCAATTCCTCAGCACCACATAAGCAAAAAAGAAAAAAGCCAGAAGTAGCGCTGTGGCTCAAGTGGTAGAGCGCTAGCCTTGAGCTGAAGAACTGAGGGACAGTGCCCAGGCCCAGAGTTCAGGCCCCATGACCGGACCCAAAATATATATATATAGAATAATGATGCTAGGCCCTGTAGCTCACATCTGTAATCTTAAACTACTCAGGAAACTGAGGTATGATGATCTCAGTTCAGAGCCAGCCCTATCAGGAAAAGTCTGAATGACTCCATCTCCGATTAACCAGTAAAATGCCAGACTATAAGTGTGCCTTAAGTGGTAGAGCTCCAGCTGTGAGCAAATAAATGCTGGATGCCCCGAGATCCGGCTCTGAGTTCAAACCCTGGTATTGGGACCAAAAGAAGGAGGACAAGGAGAGGAATCATATGTTTTCTCAGTTATAAAATTAAAGGCTTGTCAGGCACTGGTGGCTCATGCCTGTAATCCTAGCTACTCAAGAGGCTGAAATCTGAGAATCTCTCTTCAAATCCAGCCCAGAGAAGGAAAGCCTATGAGATTCTTATCACCATTCAACGACCAAAAAAACAGAGGTGGATGTAGCTCAAATGGTAGGGCACAAACCTTGAATACAAAAGCTCAGAGAAAGCACCTAGCCCTTCTGTGCTACCCCCAGGACTAGCACATAAATAAGTAAGTAAGTACGTAACTAAGTAAATAAATAAAGGCTTGAGTTAAGTTATATCATGCTTATTTTCCCCTGCTTCTAAGCTTTGAGATTGAATGTATGAAGGCAGAGCTGTGGAAATGAAAAATATAGGTTTAAGCCAGGCACTGGTGGCTCACAATTATAATCTTAGCTATTCAGTAGGCTGAGATTTGAGGATAATGGTTTGAAGCCAGCCTGGCCAGGAAAGTCTGTGAGACTTTTATCTCTAATAAACTACTCAGTAAAAGCTTCAAGTGTCACTGTGGCTCAAGGTAGTAGAGCACTAGCCTTGAGCACAGAAAGGCTCAGGGACAGAGCCCAGGCCCTGAGTTCAAGCCCCAGGACTGCCCCCCCCCAAAAAAAAGTTTAGGTAATATTTAAAAGTAGTGTTGGTGGAGATTTCCTATGTAAGAACTTAAATACAACCATTCAGTGAAGTCTCCATTACAAATACTTCCTCTCTAAACAAGACCTTCAATAGGTTTCAAGGACAATTAGGGACTGGAGTTTAATCTCAATGGTAAAGCATTTGCCTAGCCTGTCCAAGGCCTTGGGCCCAATCTCAAGCACCACACAAAAAGGAAAGGCCAAAACCTATGAAATCATAATAAATCAGTGCCCTTGTGCATATTGTGTTCTGTGGGCCACATAGGGTTCTGAGAGACAACAGCTTTATCAACAATGTGTCTCAATTGCATAAATACATGATCACTAGAATGGAGCTGTGAACCAGTCTTGGTAGCAAATAGGAGCTATATGGATGGGGGAAAAAAACTAGAAGTAGCACCAAGGCACTACAAATGATATTTTAGGGAGAGACATAATCTATAGGAATCCCTTCTAAGGCAATTTCACTTTCCACGGTTTAATTATCTGTAATCAACTACAATCTAAAACTATTAAGTGGAAAATTCCAGAAAGAATTCAGTAGCCTGGTGAACCCTTCACCATCCCACAGAATATAAATCACCTCTATCCAATGGATCCATGCAGTATACACTACCCACCCACCCATCACTTAACTACTGTCTAGATTATCAGACTGACAGTCCTGATATGACACTGCTCATGAGTAACTCCTTTTTTATACCAATACTGGGGCTTGAATTTAGGGCTTGATGCTTTTGCTTAACTTTTTCACTCAAGGCTGATGCTGTACCATTGAACCATATTTTTACTTCCAGCTTTTGGTTGGTTGATTGGATATAAGAATCTCTCAGATTTGTCCTCCCTGGCTGGCTTTGAACCAGGATCCTCATATCTCAGTCTCTTAAGTAGCTAGGATGACAGGAATGAATCATTAGCACCCAATTAAGGTCATTCTTTATTTTACTTAATAAAATAGCCCCAAAGCACGACTAGTTCCAGTGACAATTTTATTATGGTATATTAGGTGAATTGTTCTATCTTTATCATTAGCCATCATTGTTTACAGATCCTAATTTCATAAATTAAACCTCATCACAAATGTATAGGTATAGGAACAAATATAGTATCTACAGGGCTTTGCATTTGTCATGGTTCCAAGTATCCACAGGGCATTGTAGAACATATACCATTGGGATACTTTCACTACAAGCAAAAGTCCAGTAAGGGGAGGACATGGAGGAATTTGGAGTCATGTATCAAGGATGGGTTGTGGAAGAACCCATCCTGTGAGAAGCTGGCTCTGGCAACTTTTCCACTTAGCTGGGGAGAGGTGAGGTTAGGGGCATGCCAGTGACAATGAGGGATGAGGCTGGGCTTTTCTGACTAGACACACTGGCCTCTCTGCAGGGTTCACTCCTTCTGCTTGTCTTTCTCTAGTTGATGTGTACTTTCCAGGTTCCATGTTTGTCCCCTTTGGACCTTTCAGTGCTCAGTCATTCTGCTTACCTAGCCTTGGAAAGTGCTCAAGTTTCTCTGGGCTGTTGTATAGACTTATCATTCTATTAAAAAAAAAGACCTCAGGGGGTCTGGGAAGGAGGCTCCGTGGTAGAGCGCTTGCCTTGCATGCATGAGGCCCTGGGTTCGATTCCTCAGCACCACATTAGCAGAAAAAGCCAGAAGTGGCACTGTGGCTCAAGCACTAGCCTTGAGCTGAAGAGCTTAGGGACAGCGCCCAGGCCCAGAGTTTAGGCCCCACAACCGGCAAACAAAAAAAGACCTCAGCAAATAGTAACACTGATTGCTATTGACCTTCGAGGGATTTATGTGATCCTCCATGTTGTAAAGTAACAAAACAATGAGTTAATGTAGGAGAGATTTTTTTTTTACTAATAGACAAATAAGAGGGATGCCCAAAAATCAATCGCCTGCCTAGCTAATTGAAATATCAACATGAGTCATAGTTCATTCCTGTGTGTTAGTATGTCACCCAAAATAAATGGTTTTGGGATTTTCGGTCCAACTTAGTAAAGTTGCATGGCAATTGTTATTTAAAGCACATGTAAAATACATAACTTATTGGAACTTATTTTATTCGGTATTTGCTTGCTGATTTTGCTGTTTGAAAGCTTAGGGAATTTCCGTGTGTGTGTGTGTGTGTGTGTGTGTGTGTGTGTGTGTGTGTGTGTGTCTCACTGGGGATCAAATCAAAGGCTTTGTGCAACTTGGGGATTTCTAATGTGTGTGTGTTTAAGGCAGGGATTCATTTCTGTAATATTTTAGGCAATCAGCTTTCTGGGGAGAAACTCAATCTGAACCAGGTTTTCTGGAATCTGCTTCTTTAAGGAGGAGTGTCACATTTACTTTAAATTCATTTGGATCAATCCTGGATTGTCATACTATAGTGATATACTTGCATTTTATTTTACTAAGGGGATTGTTTCACTGACAAAAATAAAACCATTTGTACAAATAACTCCATAAGAATTTTATTATTCATTGTTCAGAGAACTGTGAATTATCACACCAGAGAAAAGGAAAGAACACTTTTTAAGATATTTTAAAAGAAAATCTTTACTTTCATAACATGGCTCAAAAACCAATGACTCACATCCTACACAAATCTAACTCAAAAAATGGATCTTAGACCTAAACCTAAGAGTTTAAGTTATAAAAACTATAAAACTCCTAGAGAAAACACAAAATAATACAAAATAATAATTTCTTACATGTAATATCCAAAGCATTGTTCATGAAAAATGGACAAATTGAACTATGTCTAAATTTAGACCTATTGTACCACAAACAAATCTATCAAGACAATACACAGGAAGGGAGATAATACTTGAAAATCATAGTCTGATATCAGCCTGGCCTCTTACAACTCAATGATTTTTTTTTTTTTGGGTCCGGTCGTGGGGCCTGAACTCTGGGCCTGGGCGCTGTCCCTCAGCTCTTCAGCTCAAGGCTA